GAAGTAAATACCTATTTGACAAAAAGGCAAATCCAAGGGGAAACCAAGAAATACACACATGATTTCTTTCTAGGAAAAAAGTAAGATATAATGTGAGTCACACAAAAATAGATGCTTCTGATACTGGCAGGCACTTGGGTATCCAAGGTTTGAAAATGCTGAAAGCATTTCTGCAAAACAGAACTACCCGTGTTGTGCAGGGGTATGCAGCTAATCAGTCTCCATTAAGAGTACATCTACAGAAATATCAGAAACATATGCTGCTCCTTTTCCAGCACTATCATTTGTCTCAGCTGGACTCTCTTGAGAATCTTTGCTGCAAACGCATAGAGGAAATAGCATTTCCTAGTGCTATTTCAACGTGCTCCCTACCATCCTGATCTTGAGCCTTTACAGTCTTTCCCTGGAAATAAAATCTTACATCCATCCCAGCCCAAGTTAGGTATCTGTAGATTTAAGATGGTGTAAGCAACATTCAGTGCCAAGCTCTTTAGGAGGAGTGAAGGGAAGATCAAAATCAAATTAATGAGAACTGAATCCTGCGTTGTTCTTTCTTACTGTCTATATTTTCTGCCTTACTTCACATTATGCCATTGGTAGGTTTCATCCCAGCCAGACTGCATACAAAGAAAGTAAAGACTGCTTGAAACTAGTGAAAATAGCTTTGTAACCTAATATATAAAGCATTGTTCAGAAAGCCCATTCTGCTGAAGAAGCAGAAGTACACAGAAAGCATAGAAAAACTCAAGTTACCTGTAATCAGTCCCTTCTCTGCACTCACATAATTCTTACAGTTTTCCTATTGGCAACTTGGAGAACTTAAACCTTCATCATCCACCTGTGCTCAGAATTTAAGTAAAATTTTTTTATTGCCTGTTCTTCTGCTAATGGCATGAAGCTTTGGGATCTGAATAAAAGAGCAAATTGTTATTAGAAGTGGAGAAAAGATCAAATTTTCCCTCTTACATTAAGCATGGTCTCTGCTGATCCCACATGAGGTTCACTGGTACTAACCATTAAAGGGCTCTCACGCTTCTACTGAGGTAGATGAGCCCAATTCATTACTGCACTTGACCTTGTCTGTTGAACTTTACTCATCTTCTTAAGTCTTTCCTTTCTTACATGTTAAAAGAAAACCCTATAATACAAAAAAGCCTTTCTATTAATTTTTATACCTTTTTCTCAATAGCCCAGTGCTCACGAATAAATTTTGAAATAACAACAAAATTTCCCCCACTATAACATAGTAGGGTTAGAGGATTAAATATGTGACATAATCTGCACCTTATGCTAAAAAGAACAAATTAAATGTGTTATAAATCCCAGCAAACTCTAAAGAATGTTACTTTTTGCAAAATGTTCAAAGATTTTGCTGAATGTTAATTGAAAACTGCAGTTGGTAGAAATTAAGCAGCTGAAACATGTCCAGTAAGCTAAAAGCATCAACATTTAATTACTGAAATATGTTGCATGATCCAGAAAAGGCCTAAAAGCTGAAGCTATTGCACTGTGTAGCTCACTCAGCAAAGCACACAGCTGGTCTGTAAAAAAATCGAGGCATGCACATGGCTTCTGGAATAGTTTAGAAAATCAGCTATATATCAGAACAGATCATTTAATCAGAAAAAGGAAAGAATTAAGTTGAAAAGAGTAAGGATAGATCAGAGGAATACACAGATTAATCAACAAGTTACAGTCCCATCACCAAGAGACTACATTGTGGGGGGAAACCTGCCTGGTGATTGAACAGTAAAAAGCAACTGACAATGCTGAACTAAGAAAGTCTATTTGCACAGTATAGGGTTTTCCTTAAATAAAGCGTAGTGCAGGGAAGCAGGTACAGGGGATAGCAAGAAAACTTTTCTTTTTTCTTTCTCCATGCCCTAAAAAGAGATACGATGTCCAAAAGACTTTAATGCTTTTATGAAAAGAGATACCTTCCAAACTCAAGGGCATTAAAATCCATTATATGTGACACATGTCCTTAATTTTATTACTTGGACAGTAAGTGAGGAGTCTATGGAGGACAGGAGGATTTTATTTGCTTGTTTTACATTTACATGTTTTACATTGTATGGCAATTGCCACTGAAAGATCTTGGAGCACCTGCCAAATGTTAGGGACCTAAACCATCAACACCCTCCTGTAGAAGTTAACTTGCATTCATCTATCTACAAATGTAGGCTCAGAAAAAGAAGAGGATCTGCCAGACTGTAACAGATTCGTGAAAATGCTCAAAATAGAACTTGAATTTGATTCTCAAAACCAGGAATTATAAATGACCATATAAGTCCTCTTAAGGCACAACTTGTCAGGAATTGAATATGGCAATATTAATCTTACACAGCTGTTTGAAGATGTATATTTAGGCAGAATAGAATTTTAATGGGAAGGAATACTGTTTTTATAGAAAATCTCTCACCACATAAAAATGGTCAAAATCTCAGTGGGATATGAAAGGCCATTAATTCCAGAGAGGACAAAAAGTTCATTGTTCATCACAGATTACTTATATAGCGGATGATTCTCTCTCAGTGTAAGTCATCAGGTTAGGCTTATATCAAAAGTGATTTAGCTTGGGTCTGTTTGTTTATGAGATATTATGGTATTGTTGAAGAAAACTGAAGGTTTCTACAGCTCAGAATTCAAGCCATGTCTCTAATACACCAGAAACTCTGATGTTTGTACAAACTTCTAGGGACTAAAAGTTTCACAACCATGCTTCTTAACATATTCTCCCCCTTGCTTTTATGGGTCAAGAGCTTCTTCTGAAATTAATTTAAAAATAGATTACATAGAAATACCAGGAAAATTTCTCTAAACTACACTTTAAAATGAGTTTTGATCAAAAACTGCCACGAGATGGAGCGAACAAATCAGATGTCCTTAAACCATTATAAATGTTTGTGGCAATCAAGAGCTAGACCCTTCACCACAACTGGCATGTATCAAGAAACAGACCTATCGACTGTTTCGTGAATGAGTTGAAATACCTCTTCAACATTTTAAGATTTTCTTTGATTTTAGTCATATAATCTGAGAAGTCTAAAGAGGAAATGCCATTCCCAATTCTAGATGAGCAAACTGAAGATCAGTTTTTATGATGACACAGGTGGGAAGGGGGTCTAATAAGCAGGACCTCTCCCACTAGGAGTCCGCAACAATGCATCTCCCCCCTTCTAACTTATAATAAAAGTTCAAATGAGAAAAGGAGTCTGCTAGATATTACACCTGCCACCTACTTTACAAGTTACAAAGAAAGAAGCTATTCAAAAAGAAGAAAATGCAGAAACTTGTTTACAGCATCAGTACTTCCCAGATAATTATTTTCTTGTTATATTTCAAACACATGCATCTTCCGTATGAAATTCAATTGTCACATCAAGCTATGTGCACATACAAAGTAGAAATGAAAGAGATGACTGACTGTTTATTTTAAGTGAATTTTTCTTTTACAGTTTAGTGTAACTGGAGGTAGATGCACTATTAAGTGATTTTTCTTCCAGTGCTTTGAAATTATAGTAATATATGAACATTAGGACAGAATACTGGAGATTGGAATCAGTTGTTTAAAGTGAAGCCTACATAAACATGCAAATGAAACAACAAAAAAATAAGTCACAGCAGGTTATATGATGATTGTCAGTACAGTACAGTGCAGATCTGCTTGGAGGAAAGATTGTTTCTACATTGTCAAAATAGGAAAGCTAGTACTGCAAAAAAATATGATGTATGCTACTTGAAAATATACACAAGATTCAAAGACAGAGTATTACAACTATTCCATTCATATTATTTCCCATATATCTCAAACCATCAAAATCTAGTTAAAGGGCATGTTCTAGTTAACATGGCAAAAGAGTCTGCAATCTGCTATGCATGACTATATTTCAGATCCTGCAGGCAGGAGTTTCATATAATCATATAAAAATGGATACCACCATTGTCAGGACTTTTGTCTTAACCAAGTCTATCAGCCTCACTTTCAGAGCTGCTAAATTTGTTCTCTTCAGTAGATGCCTCTGCGGGAGTAATGGAAACTCCCAGCAACTTCAGTTTAAAGCATTTTTTACAATTACCTTACACTTTTGACTTGGTCCATTCAACAAATAAGTGCTCATTAACCTGTAACTGGGGAGAAATACTAATAATTAGACAGGACTTAGCTATGGTTTATTAACAAAATTATGTAGTAGCGCCCTTTCCTTAGAATTCTAGATTTGCACAGGACCAAAAATGGTCTGGTGTAACATAAATGGCAAAAAATATTTGTAGCCATAGATGGAAAATGCTTTTAAAATAAGATTTGTAATGCTTTTTTTTTTCTTCTTTTAAATTTCCTGCAAATTTTGTTGAATATAGATCACCCAAAAGGCAGATATTGAAATAAGTATCTGCATATACGACCATACACTGCAATATATCACAAACAGATGCTCAAGAACTGCTTAGAAAAAAAAATCAGATTGCATGCTTTTGTTTCCTGTTGCCAGGTGCATAAAATTTTTGAATCAATTAATGAACAGATTTATGCATGTACTTAATTCAAAGACCACAAGTAACGTTACTGGAATGAGGGCGACTCCTTAGAGACTTTAAGATAGGCCTGTCCTGATGCCCTCAAACCAGCAGGCCAATAATATTCTGCCTCTGGCAGTATGGAGTCTGTTTCAGGAAAGGAAAAATGCCGAGTAATAACTGACCTTATTCTCATCCTTCCCTTCTAGAACAGAAAGCTTCCCAAACGAAGTTTACAGGAAAGCTGTAGGCAAGCCTTCACTCATCATGCAGATGTGATGGTCCTTTTAAAGTCAACAGGCAGGATTAACATTTGATCTCTAATATACAGAATACATACAATAAAACTTGCACTGGTTTTAAAATGGGAATGTACTTCCTGGCTCAGGAACTGTGAATCTGCTCTGTAATGCACAAAATGTATTAATTTGTTTCCTTCTTAGTTAAAACCCAAATACAGTATTCAGTATAAATTTAAGTACTTTACATATGAAACTGATTTATATAGTATTTGAAACTTTACAAAATAGTACTGAAGTAATCAATAAAAAGATCAGGTTTAAAATATTTACATTTTATACATAATTTCCCCCTACTTACAATTATTAAATAATCTTCTGTGGTTTCCTTAATTTTAGGGAAAAGCTTTTAATAACTACAAACTGAATTTGAATTACTTTCAAATGGCTTTTTACTTAAACAGAATTTTAGCAAAATCACATTTCCAATGTGAAACATTATCCCCGTGTTTTCAGTAGCAGATATATGTATATATATCCGTGTTTTATAGCTGTTTTATAATGCAATCTTGTTTTCTATAAACAGTGGAGATCTAGATAAGAAAATGGCACAGTATGGATGGAAACATTATATTCCCAACTCTTAAACCCCTTTATGTCATTTGGCTTCCAGAATATCCAGTTTCTTGGTAATTTATGTTATTGTTCCAGTACTTTCAAGGAATCACAGATCCAATACTTATTTAGATTTTTGTGTCATCATCTTTTGAAAAGTTATTTCCTGAAGGTACTTCACAGAGACTATCACCATCTGTGCTGAAATCATCATCGTCGTCATCATCAGAATCAGCCAACACTTTACTTGGTGACTTCTTCAGTCTGCGTAAACAAAAATACACATCTTCGCTATTAAAACTGCACATCTACATGCAGAACACTTATGCAAAGCTTAATTGACATTAAGGATGTTAAACAAACTTGTGCTCCAAAAGGGGTAGTTTACCATAGGCTACATTTTACATGAAAGAAACATGCAAGAGAATGAAGATAAAGCAATCATATTTTCAAGCACCTCTAACTAAAGTCACAGAGATGGGAAAACTTTGCACACTGAGATGGTCAAAGATTGCTGAGGAAAACTAACACAGGATAGCTATACCTCTCAGCCATTAGCAGGAAATTTTTATTACAACAAATGATAAGAGTGTCAAGTCCCATCACCTTTTTCCATTTTTTATTCCCTGCCTCAATGACTTTATTCAGGAGGCAGATCTTGGAAAGAAGGTTTGGGCACCTAGAGCACCCTGGAAAGAGTTGGAGAACATTTGTAGAGAAAGGAAATGCGGAAGAGTTTCACAGGTCCGTTTCTAAACTCTGTCTGCTTATGACAAACTTGAAGTTTGTTAGAGGAAGCCCTGAGTTTATGGACTAAGGAAGCAATAGAGCAATCTACTGAGTGGTGGTGTGATGCATAATTGTAAGGTCTGACAAGTCATCCTACCTTAATTCCTTCTTTGCAGCGTTAAGCTGTCCTTGCAATTGTTCGTTCATGTCTAGTTGCTCTTCCAGATCTCTCTGGAGTTTCTTTTTGGCGCTTTCCAGTCTGTCTATTTCTTCTTCAGCTTCTTCAACTTGACGTTTCGTTGCTTTCAAACGCAAACTCAACTGAAATATTTACATGTCAGCTGATTAGAGGACTATTTTAATAAAGGGATTTTATTCTTCCAGCATCTATGAGAGGGAGAATAAAGACACAACTTTGCCAGTGTAGTGACACTGTAATCCTATGCTTCAGAAATATTTGAAAGTCAGCATTACTTTGAGAAAAATGATGGGAAACAATATTTTAAGAAGAAAAAACAGCAACCAACAAATGTAACTTTGGCAGAGTAAGACAGTATTATGTGATAACAAGAGCCGGTTATCGGTAAGGGAAGACTGGACCTATTAGTGTGTCTAAGTTAAGCAATTTTACCAGACAGATTTTATAAGTTTTAAAAACCCAGAGGATTTTAAAAGATTGTTCCCTTAACAGATGTTCATTCTCTAGGCAGAATATTAACTATTTGACTCACTGAAACAAACCATGTTTTAAGCAAGGAATCAACAAAGACCACAGGAATGGTAGAGCACATTGCTATTAGAATATCAATGTATGCTTAATACTTGTAGCCTATATTTAACAATAAATAGCTTCTTTCTTTAAACAAAATTTTACAGTGGCAAAACAGAATATATTATTTGTTGGTGTATGTATTTATAGGACCATATGTTGGTGTAAATATTTATAGGATCATATACTGTCTGTTATTGGCTTTATTTCTTAAAATAATTATAGCATTGCTTCTATAAGTGCTTCCTTTTCATAATTTTAGAAGTGAATAACAGTTTAGTACTAGACAAAAGAACGTGACAATGGGAACTGCAAATCTCACTAAACGGGAGTCTATAAACAACAGAGTAACAAGTATCTATCTATATTCTTCTCATACTTTTATATATGATAATTTATGCTAGTAGGATTAATATCAGATATTTGCATATTAGTCTTTCCCTCTACCTGGTCCTTTTGATCAGTCAATGAGAGATGTTCATCATCTACTTGCAACATTAACTCCTTCACTTTTCTCTCAAGTCTGCGGTTACTTAGCTGGAAATTAGCTCTATCCCTAGGAAAAAAAAACAAACCACAAAATAAACAAAAGACAGCCTTGTTAAAAAAAGGAACTGAAATACTTCCAATCCCGTGGATGGAATTCCTTCACAATGTTCTAAGAATTAAATAAATACTAATGACCTCTGCTTTGATTTACTGATTCCATGCAACATATTAAGAAATTTGTTCAAAAGCATGAACCACTAAGGGGAATTTCTTCTGTCTCCAGAGCAACATTTAGGAAGAAAAAATACATTCCTCCAAGATTAAACAATGAAGTGAACATGAAAATGAAACTGTTAGGCCCTGGAACAGGTTGCCCGGAGAGGTTGTGGAGGCCCCCTCCCTGGAAGTGTTTAAGGCCAGGTTGGATGAGGCTTTAGGCAACCTAGTCTAGGGGAGGGTGTCCCTGCCCGTCGCAGGGGGGTTGGAACTAGATGGTCTTTGAGGTCCCTTCCAACCCAAACCATTCTATGATTCTATGATAAACTACAGTGAATATTTCTAAGCCTGTGACTGATATTAGATATTGATAAAATAATGAGGTATTGAACCATGTTAGCAATGTGCAGTTTTAAATTTATAAGCCAACTTCTAGTTTGCTTTCGATCAAAAAGAAAATTTGCAATACTTGTATGAAACAGTAACCATTTTAATTTGGTGCTTGTGAGAAAAAAAAAATCAAGTTAATTGTATTAGAGACTTAATATTAGCAAAAGGACACATTCACAAACATAAACATGCATGTTTTGATTTTAACTAGTTTCACCTCTCTTCATTTTCAAGTCGTTCTTCTAGCTCTGTGATCCTTGCTTCCATTTGAGCAACAAGTCCCTCTTTACTGGATCGGTAAGAACCCTCGAGGTGAAGGATTCGGCTCTTCAAGTCTTTGTTCTATAGTTGGAACATACTTGATTACTACATACATGCTAAAATTAATAAATTATCACCTTAACACAAAATAAATTTCTCCAGGCAAGCATAAGGTGATTGGTATATTTTTAGTTAGTAAATATGGATAAAAGAGAGTAAGTGAGATTTTACTGTTTACTACAAACAAATCTTCTATTACTGTGCTTTATTAAAAAGAATTTAGTGTTAAGTTTCAGTTAAAGTTTTAGGCTTAAATGGACCCTTGAACTTCAGATGGTTGCCAGCCCCTTCCAACAGCATTTTACAATATGCCAAAATTTTTCAAATACCATCAGATCTGTCTTATTCTCCACACAATTCTTTTGTCAAATTCTGTATTCTTCCCCTGTAACTCACTGATATGTGGCTAAAACAAGTAGACAAAGAAATTACTTGCAGCCAGTATTGCTTTACTCTATCAAAGCTGTTACTGTGGGGTTTTTCCTCCTTTTTCTTAACTATCCAATGCTAGTCCTACTACATAAACAGTTTGAAAAACTTTGCAAATTGCATGATCTGTAAAAACAGACTTTTTGCTCAGATTTACACTCTAATTTTTATGAGGCTAGGTAATTTAGGTTGTCAATGGGGACCTAATGATAAAGTTGCCAGGAAAAAAAGAAAAAGAATTACATGAAGAACAGAAAATAAAGCTCTTTGCTACAGAGCTTCAAACCATGACCTCAGATCTCAAACACTAAAAAACTACAATAGCAAAGTCAGAACTAAAGATGTACATGGGATGTACCAGTAGGTGGTGTTCTTTTTTTCCTCAAGCAGTTAAGATGGTATTAGTTTCACTTAATTTCAGGCACCAAATTAGGTGTCTGGTATAAACATATTCTTTAAAATTAAATTACAACCTGTTTTACATTTTTGAAACTGTCAATAATATATAACTTGCTAAGATAGCTTTCCTCTGGATGTCAGCTGGGGGCTATGACAGCAATCTTGCTTTCAAAGATCACTGAGCTACAGAATGAAGTCTTGCAAAAAGCTAGTAAGTATTTTTAATGTACTTTCCATCACAGATATTGAAACATGAGAGTCATATTCCTTCCTAGACAACAAAGAGTAGCAGTTCTCTATCAAATCTGTATCTTTTCTTTCAGAGTCATGTCATTTTTTCACTTGTTTGCTCCTACAGAAGAAAATACTCAACTAAAATCACAATTGCTTGAAATTATGATCTGTCTTCAACATTGTTACTGAAGTACTGATAAGACTTCGAAGAACAGCTCCTCCAAAAGCGGTCAAAGGATTTACAGCTAAACTGGATAACAGTGTCTTATTATATTCTAGTCTTTTCAGTATACGTGCTTTTTAAAAGTTTCTATATTGATATCTCAGTTTTATTCTAAAACAAGTGTACTAGATCAACTGTCACGTTTCTTATTTTAAATGTCTTTGATCCTAAAATGTCCAGACAGAATTTATGTAGTAGAGAGATGCCTGCACTGACTACAACAAAAATGTCTTATTAAAAATACTAAGAGAAGACTTAATTCAAGATTATAATATTTTCTCTTGAGTATCAGTATTAAGATACTCATGGTTTTTAATCTATTCTTACTAACACATACTTCCAGCAGCACGCTATGATGGAATAGTGCCAGCTATCAAATACTGTATTCCTTAAATGCTTATGTGAATTTCCTAATGAAGGCAAATAGCCAGCCTGTTCTCTTACAAGTGTTATGATATGCCAGTCATAATTACCTGTCTTTCCAAGGAAATTTTGTCACACTCTAAATCTTGTTTTATAGCTCTTTCCTGAAGTAGCTCTATCCTCATTTGTTCAATCTAGTATAGAAAGAAAAGACAGAACTTTTAATAAAAGATTAAATTTACATTTATCTATATGATACTCTGTGTGTGTATGTGTATATACGCACATATATAAAATACACATATCTATGCAATGAAAAAAAATTGCTCTTTCTTAGAACTCAAGACATATATATGATTTCAGATAAAGTTTGCAATTACAATCTTGAACAAAATTTTCCACTTCACGAAGCCCGTGTTATTTCCAGTGCTTATTCTAGGCATTTTCCAGCCACACTGGGTATTGTTGATGTTCAGTGTATATATTCTGTAGCAGGGTACTGAACTCTAAAATGTTGCATGACAGACATATTACGTGGCAGGTAACTGAGCTCCAGAACACTACATCAGTCTTCAAACACCTTCTATAGTTGTCGTCTTCATACTTAAGTCTGAAGCTCTGAAATTGCACCTTACCTTTAAGCTGCTGACCAGTCAACTTTAAAGTCTCACTTTCTTAAACACAAACTGCTAACTGCAGAGAAGTATCCAGAACTCAGTGACATACTCTACAGACAATTACAGTTTTCTGTGTCCATGAGAATAGGAAAAGCTCTTTTTCAACAGACTCTGATATATACTAGATATAAACATTGCTCCTCTCCTCCAGTCAATTTTATGTCTGTCATACCAGGAGAGGACAGACTTCCGGATTTGAGGAGGGGGGGCTTTGTTTGTTTTGTTAAAACACAACTTTTGCTAGTTTCTGTAAATATTTCACTTGCATCTTCAATAACCAAAAGGAAAGCACATTCTCTAAGATGTTAAAAAACTACCTGATCAATACAGAATCAAGATAAGAATACAGTATTAGTTTGTTATCTCACTATTGCACTTGACTGGAAAACTAAAATAAAATTCTGAGGACCAAAGAGAAACTCTAAACTGCTTAACAGTTGCTACTGAAACTTCAGGGCTAAAGGAAAAAGTCTGTAGTGCCCAAATACTTTTCTTGCCTCTCATTCCTGCGGAGACTGCCTTCGAGTCTTTACAAATGACTTTGCAAGCATAGCTAATGTTACCACAGCATTTGTGCTATTCCCTGCACAATGTTGACTATGATGAATATCACCTGGGGAACACAGTGAACATCTATGCCAATTACTGTACCTGCAGAAAGACTGACAGAGGTTTCACTAGCCACACCATTCTTCCCTGCTTTACAACAGTTACATGTGAACTTGGGTAAAACTGTCACAGTTAAACAGCTCTAAGTTACAGATTTATCTCACTAAAGGTCTTTCAAAAGCCATTGGGAATTCTTGCATTAAAAATTCCAAAAGCAATGCTAAGAATGTGAAGGTTAAACAAGTACAGCACATAAAATTTTACCGTAGGCCTTTTTTATTTACCAGATTGTAATATTAAAAGATATATTTTTAGTTAATCACATGTTTAAAAGAAGTCATTTAGCACTGTTTCCGCAGCTTTGAAATGAATATATGATACAAAGAATGGTAGCAATGCATGCAGTTGCATATGTTATGTCACAGTACGGTTTCAGAAC